CTCGTTAGGCGTGGCACCGAACGACTTCTTTCTCGAGCTGCCTGCCGCACACAGGTGTACCTCTCATTATAAATTAGCGGTACCCCGTTTTGTAGAAGCTGTTTGTACATGAACAGGTACTGTTCGGATCACTCCAACGTTAACAACGAGAACAGAGGAAACGAAAACCTTTCTGAAGGTATTTCCTGGAAACACTCGTATGCAGAGTTTTAAGACCTTCAAAAGAAAGAATACTTAGCAAGCTAATAATTCGACAGTTTTACATGAAGCAGCTGAATTCCAATGTCTACTGGACTACCAATATATAGTCGCTGATAACTGTGAAAGTTCATCCTCTGTTATGAACCAATCCCCAACACTAGACCTGAATTGTTCCACAGACACTGATTGTCATCTTCAAAGCGCCAAGTCAGCATTGCATCTGTGGTTCTCATCAGCCGAAGTTTAGCGCTGCTGATTAATGCAAACAAGCTATGTACGTCGTTGTTTTAGTCACGTTCAATTTGTTCCTGCAGAAACTGTGAATTCAAGTAGTTTGTTTTGACGACGAATTGATGGAATCATATTCAGCGGCAATTCACAGGAATTAAAGAGCATAACTGAAAGGTACAATTAATTTCAAGGGTCTCTTAAGTCACTACGGTAGTCGCAGCATCATGTCATTAAAGCAGCTGCAGCGCTTCGTCGTCATGCTAATACGTCGAACACGAAACCTGCTCGAATACCAACGGAAAACTTTTTACCAGTTGCTTCTCCAAGCGCTTCCAACGTTTTAAGAAGCAATGGAACAGGGTATTCTTGTGTTCAGGATATAGTACGGAAAGAGGTACAGCTAATGTTAGATGTAAACAAAAGTATAAAAGACTTCATTGGTACGGATGCTGCTGCTATACAACTGCGGAGCATATATTTTTCCCATTATCTAACTTCTGCATTTTTCTCACAGAAATCGGGCAATGTACATGTACAGGGCCGAGGACAGCGCAAAATACCATAGAGTACAAAAGCGTCGTCGAAACAGCGGGGCTAACGTGTTTCCGCACTTGTAATTGAAAGAGCCGTTAACACATTTTAAAGCAATTAGGTTTATGGTCTATGTGAAGATACTCATTATTACAAATCCGGGTGGAAGGACTGGCGGCTACAATCAATATTAATTCCCATAGAACAAACAAAATCCTTCCATCAGGCAGTCCATCCTAAAAAGGAAAAAGGCGCTCTGATGATGCGGAAAACACCTGAACCAATAACATAAATAACGAAAACAACCTAGCGTCCCTTGCATCATTTCAAGAGTAACGGCCTCAAGTATCTAAAGCCATTAGGATGAAAAAATATCTTACCTCGTCATCCTTTTGAACGGAAGAAAACATACGCCACTGTGGTTGAAAAACTTCCTAAAACACGGTTTATTAACAGACAACGCAAAAACGTAATAAGATCAATAATATACTTGACCAATGCCAACATTTCGAGCCTCGCAAGTCTTCTTCATGGTATGAGGTTGGTTAAGTTTTGGAAGCTTCCCCTGTTGTTCGCAGCGGATGGTAGATTTAAAGACAATAGGCAAGATTTTGTTCCGTGCTGCTGGTTAAATAGTTTTTGGCAGAAAACGCTCTTCTGATCCGCGCAGGGTTCGTATCCCTTTTTAGTCACGATTCAAATTTTTGCAGGACTGGATGATTAATGTCTCCTTGACATGCCTCTATTTACTACTATCTTTCTCTGATGATCTGTACACTCTGAACATCTGGAGGAGATAGTATTTTTAGAGTGCGGCATGCTACGCAATCCCAGAAGTCTTCACGCCTCACTACTTGATTCTGTTCTCTTCTCTGATGCTTCGTCACCACGTGTTGCTCACGTTCGTCCACTAGCATTCATCTTCTCCAGCTTTACAGGTATTTGCTCCCTGACGAATAGTGTTCACTGTTTCTCCTGTTACATCGTAGTTACGTGGTCATTTGTACATATAGCCGGAGGAGCTGTTGTTCTCAGAATCAGTTAATAATAACGTGTTAATTTTATCAAAGCGTTTATGTATAATATTAACATTATGCTTATTATTAAACAATCTTTGCAACTTTTCACTAAAGTTCATATGGTAAGACAGAATTAAGTAAGGTTTATTGTATAGAATCCTGTTTCAATGTTATTGGTGCTACATATTTATTTAAAGTAACCTTGTCTGCTGTTTGTATTATTTAAGTGTTCAACTGGAAATTATTGCTATTACATAAAGCTAATTTAATGTTTTTTTCTTCTTTATTTACTACAGAACTTCAAACCCCTTTCTATTAAAACTACACGTATAAACCGTTCATTATTTAAATCACTATATGAGTTTAAGTTTATACATTTTTGAGGGTCAGTAGGTTTACGATAAACTTTAGTTTTATAGTAAATACGAGAGTTAATTATTAAGACATGACTGAATAATGGTGCAGAAATAGAGTTCGGCATCGTACCATTATTTTGATGAAAGAAGGTCGATAAAATGGCCAAATAATAGAAGTAATGGAAGACCAATGTTAAGACATGAAGAAAAGGGAAAAAAGGTAACCTCCTTTTTTCTTTCAATGGATAAGTCGATGTTCTGATGAAACAGGTTACTGAGAAGGAGTAGTTCCTTATTTTCATTTCCATATAGAAAAAATACCATCAACATATCTTTCGAAAACCTATGGAAACAGGCCTGGGTTTGTAATCAGGGCCACATTTTCGAAGCGTTCCGTAAACATTTCAGCAAACATGATGGAAAATGGGTTGCCCATGGGCTTCCGTGGTTTGTTCGAAGAAACTGCCATTAAAGGAGAAATAATTCGTCTCTACCATGAAAAAGGTTATTAACTTTATGAGAGAATTAACAGAGAAAAGTACGTTATTTCAGTGAATTATGACCTTGAAGAAGTTAACGAATTATTATAAGAGTTAGGTCAGCAAGAATATTAGCAAACAAGGCTCCAACGACGTATCTGACCATAACGCTCCCTTCGGAAGGTTTAATCAGTTTCAGGTTCTTGCAAAACCCATGTGAGCTTTTAACGTAAACAGTAAATCCTACTCAACCCTAAATATCATAATAACGTTATATATAAAAGCCCTAATAAACTTAAGGAGTTCTTACACAATTCTGTGAAGAACAAATTTCTAGGCGAGGTGTACACACTACTATGCGAAGAACCACATAGGAGAAACAAGGAATATTGTCATTCAGGGAGGTAAAAACTACGTTTGAAGTTGGAGAAGAGGGATGATCACGATAACCGAGAGGCGATACGTGATAACGAAGCATCCGAAAAGATCCAACAGAGTCAAGGAACGATGCGGAAAGACCTGTGGGACTGTGCAACACGAGGCACAGCAAGAAGACGCCCCTTCCTCTGATGATCAAGGTGTGCTGGCATCATCAAAGACTATCTGCACAGAACATTAATCATTCAGTCCTTCAGAAGTTTCGGCCGTGACAAACAAAGAATGCCAACCCTGCATGAAGTGGATTCGCCTTGTCGCCCAGAAACTGTTTAACTAACAGCACGGATAAAAAGCTTGCCTATCGTCTTCAAACTCACTACCGCTTCAGGCGAGAAAAACTATCAAAATTTAACCAACTTCCTACTATGAAGAAGGCTCCTGAAACGGGCCAAATCGCTGGCATTGGTCAATCATGTGACTGAGCAAATTTTTTGCGTTGTGTTATAATAAACCGTGTTTATGACGTTTTTGCGTTGTGTGACGTTTTCAGTACAACCACCAACACATCACTAACAAAGTTCTCGATCATTACTGTGGTTGTAGGAAAAATTTGCTGTGTCTTCATCGGTTATATGACAATTTCATAGCCTAAAGCTGTTCATTCAAGCAACCAACTGTACGACCACCGGCAGACTTTATACCTGTCCTTGAATAAGTTTTATTAGGACTGAATGAATTACGACAGCTATAGACGCGGCGCAGTCAATCATTTCGATAAGTAATAAGCGGCAGCCATAAAATTGGCAATTCATTGCTGACAGTTTCGATACCACTGATGACAATCAACACATTAACATGTTCGATTGCCGTACCATAAACCAGTTCCGGTCATCATCAAGTCTGATTGTAATTGGTGCTGTCAGCTGTCTCGCACTGTTTGAAGATGAATTAGAAACTAAATGGATTCTAAAGGGAGCGTGAGAAAGTGTCTTAAGTCACTTCTCATTTGTTCATTTCAATTCTGAAGGCCGAACAGCACTGAAAACAATGACCTTCTGACCTTCGACCTTCCGTCGTTTCATAGTCTTTTGTGACCCACTGACATGTGTAATGCACTTTTCGTCCTGTTTGATGAGACATTGCCATCATCGAGATCTTCCAAGCCAAAAATCTACGATTTTCTAGACCATACAAGCCGTTTACAGATCTAGATTTTCCGAGGCTTTCACTATTACCAACGTATCACGTAGGATCAACTTTTCTAGTGAACAATCCTCATTAATTAGGCTTGGAAACTTTCCACAACTACAGGGAAAATATTGAACGACATTTCGTTGCCATGAACTAGAAACAGCGAATCATGGAACAGTTCAATCATTATACAGTTCATCTGACAGATCAGATGATCAGGTTGTCAGCGATCAAATATGCCAGTCAAAGCATTGGGCGCTGTTCCATTCAAATCGCACATGACACTACCGCTGACCCTAAATCTGCTCATTATGTAACCAACCTGACTGAATCGTACAACAAGTTTGCTCCTTCGAAAGTATTCGCCGCAAGGCCAAGACAAAACTTTCCTGGTAAATCATATGTTTTTAGACTACCGCAAAAGATCTAGTACTTTATCGCGGCATTAAACTATACGTATTTACACTTATATACTTTCTACAGCAACACATGACTTTGGCGGTCAAAAAAGGCAATAGTAATCCATATAAATGCACGGAAATCACTCATTTAGGTAATCAACTACCACCTTAGTTACCCAGTACCTGATTAAGTGTCGACCCAGGAATTAGAGCA